GGTTGTGATTATTGGTGATTATTCTATCAGTAATTTGTTCCTTAGGTGTGTATTTATTTTCTCTTGTCGAGATGTTTGCTTTAAATCCATCCCCAGATATTATGATTCCTGTGTTTAAAGCGAGAGCGTCGTCATCTGTGTACGTGCGGCAATTGAGTCCCAAGCGACGATAACAACACATGCTTAAAACGCAAAGGCTCATGGGTAGACGCTTGTTTGTAAATAATGACACGCTATGGCCATCTGACGCATACACAGGTGACGACTCCCCGACTTTAACAAAGTTGGAAATTACTTGATTATTTCAATTACTGTGGATCTATCCCGTAAGCAACTTTCAAATTTTTCAGGCTGCTATGTCTCCTTGTGTCTGATCATTTCAGGTTTTATCCGTATACGTCATTGAGCAACTTCACTACTAGGGGGCGTTGGGACTTACTGAGTAAAACCATGGAACTATAAACCATGGTAAAACCATAGTGGTGAAACATTCTAGGATGTGACACTTTTGATGATCACTTCGACTTTTAAAAAAAAAATTACAGAGAACTCGCGCAACAGTGATAATACTTAATTTTTATTAAAACTTAAAGTTAACAATGATGCTGATAAACCGTAATATTATTTGAACATCAATATACACAGTATAAAGCTTAAATAAACAAAACATTTAAATTAACAATATATAAACAAACAAAACAAACATATTGCTGCATGGCCGGAAGTACTTCAGTATCAACGATGCATAAATCAACCACCGCAGACAGGAGCCATCAAAGTTTCTGTTCACTTAATTTTTTTTTTTATATTTTGTAGAAAAAAAAATAACTTCATCACCAAAATTTAGCTTGAATATTTTTGTAAATAGAAATACAACCCACTTCGTAAACACTAACTAAACAGAGTAATATGGCCATGATATTGAATGGCATTACAATCAGTTCTACCAATAGTTACAATGTTATGCCAATTCATTTCCTGTTTTCAAATCATTTGAACAATTAATATGGGTCAATCATTAGAATATGAAAAAAAACTTTTAAAAAAATACACATTTGGTAGAGGTAGCAAAAAAACAAAATCTTCCACAATATCAAGCTCAAAACTAAATATATAAAATAATTTACACCCCCCCCCCATAGTTACTAATGGCTTAGTATCTAATAATTAGCAAAAAAACAAAATCTTCCACAATATCAAGCTCAAAACTAAATATATAAAATAATTTACACACCCCCCCCCCCCCCATAGTTACTAATGGCTTAGTATCTAATAATTTGCATATCGTCATTTCTCTACATTGCAATGTATACAAATAATACATATCCAAGGTGATGTTCAGCAAACACTAAGCGTGACCCAAAAATTATTTTGGCGTAGCGTACAATTTAAATTATTCATATGATCATCGTTTATATACGTACTGTGCGATCAAACAGTGACGCTGCTCTGGAACAAAAAAGACAACAATCACCTAATGTGTCAAACAATTAATTATTAATTATGTTTGAAACAGTGATAATATATTAATTAGCTGACGCTACATAAAAGTTTTAATTTGTCAGTCTGGTAAGGCACCATGTGTGGAATGGAGTATCCTTGGGCTGGGGGTTGTTTCTATACAGTATAATACAGACGTTTTCTGTAAACTGGTAAAAAGTTTATGCTTTTTATTAAATTTAGTAAATGAGCTGATGTGAGACTGATCTTTCTCAGTTTTACTGCAACAGAAAGACTTAAAAAAGTTAAAGATTAAAATTGTTTAGGATTCCCCTTAAAACAGGTAAATATTTGAACTCAACAAAACAAAACAATTATTTAAAAATTCGTAAAAAAAACAAACACAAATGTTACAGTTCATATTTACATTGCATTATTTACATGTATACTCATGCAAGTTGTAAACATATATTAATTTACAAACATTATTTTATTATGTACTGAAGTCAGCTAAGTCTATTTTCATTTAAAAACTCCAAGTCCAAATGAATTGATTGAATTGGCTGAGCAGGCACCTCTCACCACTCAGTGAAGTGCTCGTGCATAAATTAGAACAGATCAGAACAGACTATGTTACTGCATGCATGATGTGAAACTGTCGTTTGAGTTTTTAATTCTTGGATTTATAAATAATTTATAATGTACTGTAAAGTACTTTATTTTAGCTGGAATTAATTTTCACTGAAATAAAAGTGTTTTGTATGGAATTTATTTTCACTGATTTTTGATGAGTTGAATGTAAAATATAGAAATCACCCCTTCAGTGAAAATAAAGTATTTTACAATAGAGGCCTTAGCTGATTTCACCGTACTATGAGGTTATCACCTGATATCACTTGAATTGTGGGATACAAGTGACGTCAAGGGCTCGTATTTAATATCTATGGTCCGAAAAGGTGTCAGGGAAATCAGGATTTTACAAGGCTTCGCTTACGCTTCATATGCTAAATCATGCTAATGACGTCTTTATTTCAAAATTGACAGAAATATAACCCTTCATAACAATATTTTTTTCAAAATATACTTTTGTCATCATTATTATGAGTTACCGGTATTACCATTGCGCAATGCAACGAATTGTTGTTAACGAGTCTAAAGTATTCATATCAGAGTGATAAACATAGTACCGTCAAACGATTTTGTTTACTATGCGTACTGTTCAAGCACACACTTATGACGTTTAATGTGATTCTTACGATGTTTAATGTGAAATATTTTTAGTGATATTCACACTAAACGTCACTACTGTGTAAAATATACACCATGATCAAATCATGGATAAATCCATATATCATGTAAAAATACATAATATATGCATGTATGAAGCCTATTAGCATAAATGAATATGTAACAAATCATATTTGCGAAATAACACATCAAAAAAAAAAAAAGCAAAATAAAAAAAAAACATTTTAGTACTGTAAAAGAAATGCATTGCAAAATAAAAGCACACACTACAACACAAAATGAGCTTGCCAAATCTTAATTTGTTTCCAGTCAAAAGATATTTCCAATCATCCTAAGGTGCTGAATAAGAATGGCCACCTTTCAAATTTATCCAATTAACAACACAATCAGCAACACAAACGGCTCATCTCATCGGTATTACGCTATCAACGGCCTACGTACTTTAATCACAAAATGGTATTCAGACATACATCGGAACCGAGGACAATTAAAGTCAATGCAATGAACGTAGATAATAAATAAGAAATGGATTTTCTATAATTTATTGAAATTGGACACCAATCACCTTATTTGTGCCTATTATTACTATCTTCCCTACAACCATGACAACCAAATTGGAAGTTACTATATAATAAAATTGGATGTAAGTAAGCTTGTGAGTTAAATAAGAAAAAAAAAAAAGTATTTTCTGAGGATTCCATGTTTGTATTTGTATTATTGCTTTGCGTTTGGGAATAACACACGATAAACACAAGCTCTATGTCTTTATCAATATTCTTTCTGTCATACCGGTAATAGTGTTATTCAGACGTGTAGAATTCAACATCATCAACACCCCAGTTTGCTTTTATGAATGTATTTTTTTTTTAAATAATATTGCTATAATATGTATGTATTATTTTTATATAGTGAAATATAAAATAATGTTGTAGCTATGGCAACATACTCAGCACCTTATCATCTTTCTATTAGAATATCCTTTATTAGAGAAACCAGAAGAAGAACATGGTATGGCCACTGCAAGTGAATTTTCTGTTTACCACATCATAATTATCAGATGTACCGATATGTTTGAATTTTTCAGTAAAAAGCAAGTCACTGTAAGTGTTGTCATCAGGTGATGAAACCTTAATTCTTATATAATCTAAAACCTTTTTTTCATATACCTATTTAAAAGGGTTACCCAAAACTACAAATCAAACCAGGTACAATGTAGCTAGACTAATTATTAATTTAAATTATTAATAAATCATTCTTTGGTATAATAATCATCATAATACTTAGCTGCATATTTTAGAAATTATGAACTTAAATTTTTTTTTTAAATATCTGCCTTCTTTTGATTGTTGTAAAAACAATTAAACTACCTCATCAATCACATTACAGTATGCCTTGGAGATTAATTACAGTTAATTAGTCTCATTAATTATTAGTTTTCACTTCAGTTACAAGTGTTGAACTTGTTAGCAGATAAAAGTAGAGAGATAGTATTTGCAACTTATACCAAGTTGTAAATTAGTCGGACACTGTATTTCACCTTGGCAGTACATAAAATTAAATACACACATCGGAAGAAACTTGAATCTGCAGGAATGGCTTGACATTCAACGTACTGAAATGCACCAATCTTATATAAATATTAAAATATGCAAACTACATCATCAATATATGTTTCATATCAATATCTCAAATCTCTGTTATATATTAAAAACAAATATTGCTATAAAAATATATTTCTTGAATAACCATGTCTTAAAGTCGCCCACAATAATTCAAATTTTCTCAATATCCATGAGCTAAGAAGTTATGTAAAGTGGACTTCCTATCCATCATAAAATGTCTGATCTTAGCTGTTGTCAGCTGTGATTTTTTTCTTGCACCATATTATTAACCTGCATTTTTGAAATGCATAATACCTGTGGATCCACGGGATCCACTATAATCTACTAAAATACAGATTTTATCGCAATTGAGTCTTTTATCAAGTTTTTACAATTACAAGTTTTTGTTTGTAGCATTTTGGTGTTCATATCAGCCATTAAAATAAATGTAATCATTCGAACGCCATCATTTTTCTTGCCAAAATTTTGTATATAATTTATTTGTAAATTTTTGACCAAATGAATTACCCAGTATATACACTTTCTTTCAAATTGAACAATTTTTGTAAAATAATGTTGGAAATATTATTTATGTCCGGCTATTACGTAACAAACAATGACTGTTGTTTGAATGATTATTGAACAGCTGATTCTCATTAATGAATTCCTCATCAATTAGGATCAGAAAAAAGTTACTAATTATCCCAAAGCTCATGAATCAAAGAAATTATCATTTGTGGGTGTAATACTTCCTGCATTCTGGCGACTTTTCTGAGCCCACTGGTTATCCTGGCCAATCTCAAACTCATCGTTATCGTCCATGGGATCTAGCTGACGCTTGCGTGCCTCAGCACTTGTTAAGGGGTTGTAACGTTTCACCGGACTGCTTCTGCCATCATATATTCTTTCTGACGTTGACGACACAGCAGAGGCTACATTGCTGTCAACTGCAAGGTTGGAATTGTAACCATCTAACCAAGAATCCACATCTAAATAAATAAATAAATAAATAAATAAATAAATAAATAAATAAATAAATAAATAAATAAGTGAGTGAGTGAGTGAGTGAGTGAGTGAGTGAGTGAGTGAGTGAGTGAGTGAGTGAGTGAGTGAGTGAGTGAGTGAGTGAGTGAGTGAGTGAGTGAGTGAGTGATGAATAAAACACTTGAACACCTGCATATAATATTGGTCAGCCAAATTTACCGTAATCCTTGTATACAACCCTGTATACATACCTGTACATACATGTACGAAACATCAATAGAGGAATGGAGAGTTCAGAACATGAAATTTAAAAGACGGTGCATGGACATCGCCCCATGCATGTGCGATATTTGTGTTGATAAACATTAATTTTCCCACAATTCAATGTGCTGTTCTAATGGAAATAACAAGTGTGAGGTTTGACCTGGGCATGACTCCCAATCACCAAAGAAATTACCCAGTTAAAGCTTCGTAACGTCTCAGTTTGTACTTTATTTTAGCTGGAATTAATTTTTGCTGAATAGACATATTGGGTGTTTTGTATGGAATTTATTTTCATAGATTTTTGACTAGCTGAATGTAAAATATAGGGGAAATGGTATATTCGCTGAATTGTATTTTCACTGTATTACTCCTTCAGCGAAAATAGCGAAAATTAATTCCATGCGAAAATAAAGTATTCTACAGTATAACAAATGTTATTTTTAGTTCATATGTGTATCTACTAGAGATGTTTAATAGAGTAAATACATTATATTATCATTACCAATCATAATTATAAAAAAAATTTGTTTATTGATTATGGAATATTAAAAATTAATAAATAAATATTATTATAAATATTATCTATTAATAAACAAACATGAATTGTAAGGTTGATAAATATTCCTAAATCATCAATAAGATACACTCAATGGGTCAATTCATAGGCATCCTTTAAGAACAAGGTCAAACTGATATTTTCGCTTGAATTAATTTAACTATAATTTCTTCACTGTAGAATTAATTGAAACATACCAATTGTATACCAAGTCTCAATGGATATATATCAACCTTCAGAAGAGGTAGCCGCAACAAAAATTCTCAGACGCATAAATTAAGATTTTATATTATAAAGTCGCGTTGTCAAAAAGCATTGTCCTTACAGTGGTAAAGAAATCATTGTCTTAATTCTTAATTATGACAATTTTTCACTTTTCCTATATCAATGAGTACAAAATAGATTCATTAATTATATTTTATTTTTAGCATAGATAAACAAAAATAAACATGCTTGCTGAATAGAGTAAATAAATAATTACCACACTTTAGAGTCAAACGTTGGTGCACACTGATGTACAATTTGATTACAGTTATTTACCTTTTGAGTGCCAGATATTTTTTCATGCCCAACATTCAGTGCAAATATTTTTATATTTTGTAAAATTTTTACTACCGGTAAGTTTCATCACTTAGTACATCCATGGTTTCATATTAATTTTGGACCATACAGACAGTTCCAGATATTAAATTTTAATTGTTGATAAAATGGTATGTTAATTTTTATCAACAATTCATGTGCGGAAGAGCAGACTGTATATAATCCTTTTGTAGATGATGCCAAAAGTTGACAATTGTACTCAAAGGATTCTAAGAGGCTAGTATACTAAGTTGCAGTCCTTCCATGCACTTGGAGAAAATGATTACAGGTGAGACTTATAGCAAGAGAAACCTAAAAGGTTTTAGGATAAAAATAGAAGTGATTTTGAGAAATCAGTTTGTACATCCTAGGTTAAGTAGTCCTAGAAATTGGGCAAATAAATCCAAGCAAGTGCAAGTTTACATATATTTTATAGAGAAGTGAAATAATCACAATAATCAGCAGTGCTTAAGGTAGCGAGACTATTATTTGTGTTGAAAATTACGATTTTCACATTTATTTATTAATTGATGAAATGCACTATAAACTTTCATATGATAAAGTCAACATAACATAGAATGTCATGTAAGTTGGTTAAAATGTATATTTTCTGAAGGGAAGCAAGGCAGCCTCAGTAGTGTTTTCCAAAATCAACAACACAGGTTTAATCTGTGTGCCTATAAGTTTCAAAGATAAACTCAAGACAAAGCAATGTTAGGATGTGTTATCAGTAGCTATCTGACACACAATGAGTGTTTCCAAACATTCGTGGTTTGTCTCCGATTTTGGTGTTATCATATGCCGAATTTATCCAATTATAGCTATCCCATTCCTTTATTTTTTTGGTTTCTAATAGCCTTACACATTTGGATGCCCCTACACATGGTAAAACAGACCTTGATGGGAAAACAAATTGATTGTGCCGATAAACAAGCTTGAAAATCTTTGCTGTTACTTCATGGACGTTTATCGCCAGCATAAATGCGTAATTATTTTTTTTACAGAAAAAGTAATTTTTCACCTTTGATTGAGTAACGCGACGTAGAATGCAGATACGGGCATGCAAAATACACTTGTGAAAAGCTTGAAGTCTGGCGATTCGAAAAATATATACTTTCCCGGGTCTATTTGTAGTCATTTAGTCACAATTAGAAGATGAAAACAAGTACGCAAATAATAGTCCTGCTACCTTAAAGACTGATGCTCTTACCATCATTCGCATTAAAAGTGTCGTCTTTCTCCAAATCAAAATTAAGTTCTTCATTGTTTAGTTGTTTTATTCGTTTTGCTCTCTCTCTAGCCTGTCTCGCTTTTTCTTCTCTCAGTTTCTGTTTGGCTATTTTTTCATGCTGTGCCCTTGCCCTTTGTTTCTCTGCAATTTCCATCTTTTCAGAAATTTGTTGAATCTAAAAAAAAAAAATATCCAAATAAGTTAACAGAGTTGACATAGTGATAAAAGTGATCAATACATTGTAAGTATTTAATTTATGCAGAGTTGTGTATACTATAAATATTTTACAAAAACAATAACCCCACCGATATATAAACTTGGTGACATTATTTATTATTAATCACCAAACATCATTATGGCAAAATCAAAGGACACAAATATTTGTTATGAAAAAATTTTAAAAGTTAAAATGTACATTTATGACACAACAGATAAAGAGATAAGAACACACGTTTATTTGGCAAAACAGGGGGGGCACGCTGCTGGGACCATACAAACAGTCTGAAATGCATAGCTGAAATCTGCCTAACAATGAGTGCTACCTAACTTGCCTAGACTAGTCCCACACACAGCGAGCCCCCCAGTGAAACGGTTAGCAGTGTCATACTACTAAATTGCAAACCAATTTTACTGACATAACAAAAAAATGTGGACAAGGTCATGTACGTGTCATGTATGTCTGATGTCATTTCTTGTATGTGATTGTACCCTGTAAAGCAGTTAATATTTTTGCAAGAAAAACACATGTTACTATGGATTGTAATCAAAAACAGATTTCTTAGTGAATAGCAAGACCTCATATAATAAAATTGATAACATTTATAAAAGCAAAAAAAAAAGAAAAAAATTGACAGTTATTGTTTTGAGTATGTACAGTATTAGATGAAATATGTTTGTATTAAACATTTTTCTGACTTCCAAGACTTTTTTGGAACATGCAAGTACAATTAACATCACATTCATGATCATTTCTAAGATCAATATGGACAATAAAGCTACAAGAAGACTGTGAACAAAATATAATATCACAAAGCTTCATCAAACTTAGACGCATTATGTGAATCAGAACAAATCCATTTAGTGTCATATGCAATGCCTTGAAGATTCATTTTAACAAGGCCAATCAAGTTCGAATGAGTCACACACGTAAGGTTGTTTCAATAATTTGAATAATCACTATGAAATGGTAACGTATATTCCACCAAGAAGCAAGCTGATGAAAATATATTTTTTTCATTTTTGATAGAATTTAATTTTTTTTTTATAATTATTATTTATGTTAAATAATGTTCACTTTTGTTGGTGATTTAATAACATTAATTCTTCAAATACCAGGTTTCCCCAAAACATTGGCCAAATTGGAAAAAAATTAAATTATATAGTATTTATTACTATTCAATTTAAATATATGAGAAGAATTCTATATTTCCCTTGATGTGTGACAGAATACATGTATAGAAATGCCACAGACATATATTTCAGATAACCTTCGCTATTTTAGATTACATCACTATGCACGTACAGAACGAATCAATAACAAGTTGTTAAAGATGGGCAAGCAGATAAAATATACACCTGACAAAGATCACAGTACCACGTAATTAGTGAGTTTGTTAACAGAGCACTTCAAAGCCGTCAGTCATGATTTTCAACCATTACTGGCACCTCAATATAAATGGGTTTTAAATCCAGTAAATCCATCGTTCTGTGATATTTGATTTTCCTGAGCTTGACAGGAAGGTTTAACTGAGGGATTACAACAAAGGAAGACATTAATCTCTGGTCAATAAAAGTTGATCCATTGTAAGGACACGAAATAATCCCGGAATAAAATCTAACTGCATGTGCAGAGAATTAAGTCATGACATGTATACTCCTGTCACCGCCATTAAAGGTCAGATTTCTAAAAAGCCCATTTTTAAAGGGCGGCAGTCGTCGTGCCGTGTCCTGTTCGATATGGGACTCATAACAACATATACAACGCGTGTAAAATACATTGTTTATTTACATAAAATTTGAACACGCGCTGCGCGACAACCACCGAGCTTTAATGATTGACAAAATTCAAATTTCTAAAATCACTTCAATGTAACAAGCAACATATGCTTCATTTCCATTCCTTTGTTTATTCATTTTATACATTGGTTCAATTCCGGCACAAATATTATTTTAATCAATATATTATTATTTAATTATTTTAATTAAATATATTAAATTAACATAATTATAATGGGCAATGAAATGTAACTTTAGATAGACACAAAATTGATCACTTAGATGTTAACAGCTAAAAATGCTGCTGGAAATTTATACCTTCTCTTGTTGTTCTTGATGTCCTTTTTCGTATTCTCTAGCTGCCATTATTTCTTTGCGTCTTTTAGATGTACGTCTTGCACTCTTTGCTCGTTTTTGCAATTCCTTAAGGAGTGAGTAAAGAGGAAAAGTTAATAAATAATTCAGAACAAAAAAAATAAATAATCTTTATTCTCATTTCGGGTATTAGATTCTGGTACCGTGCAGTTATCTGTTACTATAGAACTATTTTCTTGTAATGTTAAAATATTTATATATCAAAATATATTGAGTAAACAGAACCTAGGTGACCTTTTCAGACATTTAACGGAGTGGTTTGAATATTACCATTCATTATTTAACCCCAAAAATAATGCCTATATTACTGTACAGAATGATCTTTGGCATTACATGGAGCCATCATTACAAGATTTCCTGTGTGACACTGATATATCACAGGTTGATCAAATTACGGATATGCTCTATATAAACTATGCATGCATGGTTCCAATTCAAGTCACAAGGTTATCTTCATTTTAATCTCATCATTGTGTCAATTATGACACATTACTTGGCTGTCATGTTTAAAATGGGACCCACATGTCCAATACAACAGATGTGAAACCATTTAAAGAATGTTTACAGGATGATGTATGGGATTTTAAGTTATATTGTAGATATGCTTGTATAAATGATAAGACCCTTTAGTATACTTAAAAAGGGTTGGAAAGGCCAGAATATCTACTACATGTATCATATTTAAAGGGCGCCGTGTTATGGGACTCAAATACATTGTTTATTTACATGAAATTCGAACATGCGCTGCTCGACGACCACCGCGCTTTAAACACATTTTATGCTTTTAGCTCATTTCGAAGGTTACATATTTGCAAAGTGGGAATGCAATTTTAAGTAAGTCTGATCATTATTTCATAAATTATGTAAATGAGCAAAATTATATAGAATAAATTTGATTTTTAAATATTCCTGACAGAGTATATCAAAAGCTGGTTGTTGTTAATAGAGTGTTAACATAAATAAATCAGTAGGGCTATGATATTATTATAGCCTTTAGTAGAATTGCTTAGGTTAACTTAATGTCAGTTTCCTTGTCGTTATATTTATAGTCCAACTTGCTTTTGTGTTAATGTATATCAATTAATTTGA